TAGATTACATTGGTTTATAATTACTATTGGATTTCTAATAAGATATCTTTTATATATTTTGGAAAATAGGATATTTATTTATTTATGTGTAATAAAAATGTGGCAAAAATTATGATACTGTTTTAAAATATAATGAATTAACAGTTTTTGGAAATAGTTCTCAATGAATGGCTAACCATGGTTCTATGAAGTACCAAAAATGTCCATAAATTACACTAGTAAGTGTTGGCTCTGGATCTCATGACTGACATTTTACAGTCACTATTTTTTTTTATACTTTTTTTTTCTTTTTTCTTTTTTATCGGTACCGGGGATCGAACTCACGACTGCCTGCTTGCAAGGCAGGTGCTTATGCCGCTGAGCTAAATCCCCAGCCCCCACTATTTTTTCTTATAGGCAATATAAAGCAAATCAATGAAGCTTATATAAAGGCATACTCTATTCCAAGCTCTAGGCATCTTCATAAATCAAAAATATTCCCTCTTGAAGGATGTTTTGACACTTAGATGCCTTCTATTACTTTGCGTGATAAATTTCACGCACATACACACACATTTTACTTACATGTATTGATGCCCTGTTGAATGAAGAATGTCAAGTTCATCCATACTTTTTATTGAAGGGTATTATATAATATATAGTCACAAAATACATGATTGAAAGATTCTGTAAAAGGAGATTTTTTTCTTGGCAATGATGAATGAATATTGTCTATGTCTATCGATTCATCTATGCATATGTAAGAGTTCCTGAGAAGGTTCTTTAAGGGAAACAGCTCAGTGTGAAGGCTCCAGGTTCAATCTTCAGAATCACCACCACCTTCACTAAAAACAAAACAACAACAACGACAAAAATCCTCCTCAATTTTGAACTTTACCACATGTCCTTAGAATGCTATTAACTTCACATAAAATGCTAATGTACATTCACTGGCCCCCTTCAAAGTCACAGTATGAGTTAAAATCAATATTTGTTTTCCCTAGAATTGTTGAATTTCCCTCTCTCAGTGCTCCTTAGATTATATGGTTCTTGCCTCATTTCTGGCATATTGTTTAGTGCTGTTTATTGATCACTTAAGTTTTTTCAAACTATCCAGAATGATATACCATGAAGAAGGGACCAACTCCTCCTCTTTACCTTGTACCACATTGTGTGGTGAATATATTTTTCCCTATTAAAAAGTGACTTCCTTAGAGAGAGGGTAACTAAAGAGCTTGTCAGGACAATCACTTTCTCTAGTAGATATCCATGAACTTTGTTTCTGACTTTCCTTCCTATCTGGATCAAGCTCTTCTTACACAAACACCATCGTTCATAAAGCTTCTTGTGTTAATCTTTGGCATACCTGCCCCAAAATTGTTCTTCACTGAGAAATAGCTCTTGTCCCAGGAAAGCGATCAAAGCTATAGACTTTGTTGCCTGCACATGAAATGTGAACAAAGTACACAGTGAATGCTTAAATTTAGGGAATTTAATATAGCCAAAAGACACATTGTCATCAATCCTCCCCAAACATTACAGCCTGGATTCTAACACAATTACCCTGTTGTTCTTCTTCCTTTCTGAACAGTTCTGGAAGTACCCTTTTGTGTCTATGAGGTACAGTCTAAAATAGGGTGCATGCTACTAAGTGCCATCCTATGGAAAAATTTGCTCATAAAGCTTTATGATCTTTCCTTATTCACCTTATTCATTGGGTTGGCTTTGTACTGTATGAGTTTTGGTTCTTTCTCAAATTCAAAGTGACCACAGGAGGTAAATGTTGTGAATTGATACATGACAATGAGGCAGCAATGACAGTGAAACTAAAGACACTCATGGAGCAGGACATCCAGAACTGCTTCAAAAATGCATAGGAACAAAAGAGAAAGAGTGTTCAAATTGAGTGGAAACATGATTTTCATCATACTAGGTAAATAGTGTAGCTGACAGAATTTTTCACAGGAAGAGTTTTAAATAAAAGCCCAAACTTCTGAGTCTTCTAAAAGCTGCACCATCTCTGATAATAATTCACTATACTAAATAAGGAGCCTACAGATAAAGCAATGACTTCAATCTTTAATTGCCCAATAAACCGAGGCTTCTTTTGCTCAATTCAGATGGAAATATCAAGTCAGCAAAGTGCTACACTGAAAGTCCCAATGTTACCAGATTTACCAGGTAGTGCTGGATGCCAACAGTGGATTCAGCCAGCTGTTGTGTTTCCCATCATCACCGTCCAGTGCTGGCTTATGCTAGACACCATAGTCAACTCTGCTGGGTGCTAGACTCTGCTTCAGGTCTTCACTGGTTGCTGGTCTCTGGAGTTCTTCACAGTTAATAACTCTGAAAATTAATGCCATTTTCTTGAAAATGATCTTGCTGTTCACACTACTCAAAACAAGAATCCCAAGTAGATTTTGGGAACTTTGGGGACCCACACTACCCAAGAAATAAATCACATACAAACTTACAGGAACACCAAAGTGGCTCTTTAACAGGGCCTGTGCTGTAGCCCAGTGAGATCAGTACAAAGAGGTTGCCCTCCTTGACCTAGACTAAATTCAAGATGTGCCCAGGGAATGCTGCTTATATAGTTGCTTGCAGGCCTGTTTTCAGGACCAGGGCGAAAGTTTTCTGTTCATGTTGAGTATGAAAATAAGGTGCCTGCATATCTTATTTCCTGATCTCCACTATTCCAGGGTGACCCCTCTTTGCTTCAAAAAGGCAGCAATGTGGTTGTGAGTGGGAGAGGGGCACCGTGGTGTCCATCTGCACTCAGACCGGAGTGGAGAATGGTGTTCTGATAGCCAGGGAGGACACTGAAACAAACTGTCCTGTTCATTGGGGTGCAGAGCAGAGGAAGGTGAGGGAGAAGGACAGACAGCTGCTAGCCAAGCCACACATCTCGCTCTTTTCAGCAGGGGAAGAATGAGAGAGGCAGCGACTTCTCTGTCTCACCTACAGGCATCTAAATTTAGTTAGACCTTTGCCCAAGTCTCCTCCCTGACTTCTGTGTTAAAGCTTGAATCATTCAGTTTACTTTGCTCTGTGTTTTCAGGCATATTGGCCACAAGGAATTGTAGTTCCATGGCACAGTCCAATAAAACTCTGCAGCAAAGTATGGACAGACAGGAATGCTAGTTTTCTCCCAGAGACTGGAACTCCTGGAAACACCACACACACACACACACACACACACACACACACACACAAAAACACACAAACACAAACTACTTAAGGAATAAAATTACTTGTTACAAAGAGCAGTCTCATTTTATTCCAGCAATGTCTCCCTTAATTCTTAATTTCTCTGTCACCCCAGACTCCTTCTAAGGTCTGGGATCGGAGCTTTAATGAGCTAGTAAGTCTCTTACTTCTAATCTTTTAATATAGTCACATAAAATAAATATGAAATAAGGATAAAAAAACAAATTCACAGAAAATCCCAGGCCTTCTGACTGTGGAGTTGGAGAAAAACATTGCTTCTAGAAATCCCTTTTGGCAGCTTCTACACTGCTATTTAAATGCTTCACATGGCTCTTTGCAGAAACTGGTCTATTCTTCTAGAAAGAGCAAGGATTGTTAGTTTTTCATAGCAAGGTCATGACCAATAACATTTGTTCTATATGAGTTCTCAGGCTGGGTTTATGTCATTGTCATGCCTTCCTTTCAAAATCAGAACTTTTCCATTGTTGTTAAGGAGGTTTGTTTTCTCTGGTGGCCTCAAGGAAATGATAGGTTTCTTCTTTCATTATTCATCTGGGAGAGTTGCAGTTTTAGGCATTGCAAATCTGAGCGTTTAGCTGTATGTGTCTAGCACTCTCGTTTTTCTCTCTGTTCTCTTCACTAATTAGAAAGCTCTACATACTTCTGGCGAGGAACTACAAAGTCTTTTGGGAACAATGCAAAGAGAAAAATACCCACAGGTATCCACTGAAGCTCAACTCAAACTTCCGATTAACTATCTCCTCACTACCAAGTGGATTACAAAAGGAAACAGTCTTCCTGATCATATGTTTCAAGGGTATATTTTAAAGCCTTCCAGGTTAGAAGTATAGAAATTATATTCTTTGATCCAAAATAGTATTTGAACCTGAACAACTTTATGTTGTATGCTTTGATTTTCTCATACGCCTTATAGTCTGGAGAGAAATTTTTCAGAAAAGACACACACACACACACACACACACACACACACCACACAGACACACACACATAACGAAATAGGCCAGTAAGGATTAAGACTCCATTGATATGAAGATCCAGTAGTTCCAGACAGGGACTTCACAGCAGACAGTCATTAAATAGTATTAAATGCACTGTCTCCCTAAGACATAGAAATCATAGGTACTAAAGTGGGAGTAGGGTCAGCAAATATACTTCCTGTTCTTAGTGGCGACGATGGAAGCTCACCAGGTTACAGAGGGGAAAGGACAACGCAAATCTGAGAATTAAGGGCTGTGAGATCACAGCAATGTAAGGATCACAAAGCTGACAGCTCACAAGGATGAAGTGTCTTGAGACGACCCTGGCATTAGTGAGTCAGAGGTAGGCGCTGAAACTGAGGGGTAGGAGCGAAGACCGCAATCCTGTTAGGAATAAGCCTGGGAATCCACTGAACCTCAAGTAGGAATACAAGGGCGCCTACGCTGGGGAGTGTGTAGAAGTCCTTTGGGAAAGTCATGACTGAGACAGCATCAATTAAATAAGTAGCAGGGGCTGGCATGATGTGGAAAAGAAGAAAGACATGCTTTAGTTGTATTTTCAAGCTGATAGAAATGAGCAAACCATAATGCAATAACAGTATAATCCAGCCTAAATACAACAACAAATACCCTCACTTTATCTTATGAGAATAAAATTTATATTAATAGTAATATTCAAATTTAATTCATTTGAAATTCCCCTCCTGGCTGTTTCAGGATTTAATTTCTTTTCTCATAGCTTTCCTCATTTAGGAAAAGATTCTGCCTTTCATTTTAGGACAAAGACCACAAGGAACTGGCTTCTTTCCCCACAATAGCTCCTCTGTGAGAAAGCTGTTTGGGCAGATGGAATGGAATTCCAATGATTCTTCTGGGCACAGACATTCTCTGAAGACAGCAACTCAAAGGGCTCAGGATGGTAAAGGTCCATGGCAGACTGGGATATGGTGAGACAAATGAACTCATTCGTCTTAAGTGTTTTCACCTAGACTTTAGAAAGAAACATCCTAAGTTTAAATATTCCGTTTTCATTGTCAAAAAAATCCTTGGCTTTACTAAATAACTTTCTTTCCCATAGGATTTCATACTAACTCTGGGATTAAAAGAGAAACAGAAAATCAGCTTTTTCTTTCCAATTACTTAAGTATAAAGTATTTTTGTTTTCTAAACAACTAAAACAATCTCATATTTAAAGAAGACTTCTATTGTTTCTAATAAATAGCATATTAACCAAAGTAAATTAAAGCAAAATAAAATAAAAATTAAACCAAGATCTTTCCCATTAGTACTTAGATAAAACTTAGTGTGGAATTGGGCTATTATTCTTTCCAGCTTCCATTTAAACTCAGTAAAATCCATTTAGCTACCTACCGCAGCTAACAACAACTGTGGTTTCTCTTAGTATTTATAAATTTAAACTTCTCCCTATTTTCCTTGACATTGTTTCCCATTGTGATTTACTTATATCTTTCTGACTTTCTCATGTTTAAAACTTCTTCTTCACTGATTTCTCTTATTACTCTCTCTAGCTTAGGTAGAAAACAACTTTAATACATGCATTTGCCTGTGTGCCATTTAGATCAGAAAATGGTCTAGGTCATGAGCATTAGAAATAATTCAGGATTGCTAAGGATAAATAAAGTGGGTGAAAGCAGGAACAACTTGATGATTTCTGGAGTGTGTAGTGGAAAGAGCCTTTCTGAAATTTCTGCTAATGAAAAAAAGCCTGCATTAACAAGCACTGGTTTTGTGAAGAACAAACCTCCCAACAAACTCTTCTTGTTACATAGTTTATTCTGTATTCAGAGTCCTACGAGAAAGCCTGAAATTGCCTTATAATCAAATGCCTGATCTCCAACAACATTGAAGAATGGAAAAGTTGGAATAGACTTGCCACTTGACCTTCATATTTAAAAATGGTCACTTTTTCAAAGTCTAAATATATGCAGATTTCCTCAAAGGGAAGCATGAGAAACAAGAGGAAAGGTTTGGGATTGAGTGACCAGAATCTGCCAAAAGCTTAGCATGAAATGCAACTCACTACCCTAACAATTTTATCTACACTTTGAGGGAATGTACTATATGCTTACCAGATTATTACTATTTTAGAAAGTGATTCAATTTTTTGTCTTTAACATTCTAGAATGTATCCCTCATGTAATTGTGTATACTCAGGATTCATGAGCATTATTAGACTAACAGGAGTCTTAGTATAGATGTCTATATATTTTAACATTTCTTGTTTTAATAAAATGTTCATATTAACTATTTTGATGGTTCCATAATTACATTAAATATATAAGAAATAATTTGCTTACAACCCTTTGCTTGTTCCATGATCCCAATATTGATAAATTGGCTATTTCATTTTGTGAGATAATGTAGATAATTCTACAATAATAATCCTTATGAATATAGTGCATTTCCTACTTTTGGGTTATGTTAAGATAAATTCCTAGAAGGTAAAATTTAAATTTAAATGTTTCAGACCTGTGAGCTTGCTGTGATAGCTATTAGCATATTTCTTTCTGAACACAGTCAACATTTCTAAGATTATTTTGACTAACGTACAAAGATAAGTGATATGACTCAAATTTCAATTAAGGAACCATAGGATTTTGCCTCAAACTCTATAGAAAAATGAAAAGGCCTACACATAGTGTATGTGCAAATACACATCAGCCAAGTAAAAAGTAATAATTTGAATCTGATGTATGATATGACTGTATGAAAATCTTGCCAGAGCTCCTAACTAGCAATATAATAGCATTTCATTACATATTATTCAAGATTACTCATATTGATTGATAAAATAAACCTGAATCATTCCAAAATGTTTAAATAGAAACTAAGTTAAGAAATCAATATGCATGTTGGGAAAAAAAATGAGATTGCATGAAATTAGGCAACATGATCTTATGATCTGTTTATCACACAAAGTTGACAATATCTTAGAAGAGGGCACAATGCTTATCATAAAACATAATAAAAGGGTAATTGAAGTTAAAGTTAATCCTTTTTGCCTCATTCTTTTGTGATTGTAGATACAGTGCTTGTTGTCTAAAAGTCATAGCCAGCACCCCTACAACACAAAGACATGTTCAAAAGAAAAAGCATAAGAAAATCTCTGCTTAAATTTGTGGGAAGAGTTTTTATGTTTTAGTTTGAAACAGGGACTGCCACGTAGAAATATTATTGGACCAAAAATGTATGACCAAATTATGGTAAATCAGTCAGGAAACTCAGTAAGGTCTGTTTAGATTTATTTCCTCCCTACTTGGAGCATTTTTTCCCTACTAAGTATGAGGCAGGAATAGGAGGATCTTAATTTCTTAGTTATGCAGAAAGCTAGAGGAAATTTGATGGCTGAGTTTGGGGAAAAAATGTTCTTGCATTTATCATCTGTCTTGGAAAAGAGAAATTCTATTTCCACATCCTGTTAGGGGAGCCCGAGAGGGGAGAGAGCAAGGAAGGAGGAGGTCAGAGGGGAATTGCTCTTCTGGGGTTTCTCCTGAGCTTCTCATTTTGGGGTGTCATTTTTTTCAGTCCCAGCACTTTCCAAGAGATTTTCTTTATAAATCTCAGAGAAGACTTTTAAATAATTAATTAATGGAATATCTGTAGGTTATTCAGTATTGCTAAGATTATTTTGAGTGTCTTTGCACTTTCACAATATTTGAGTTTCTCCATACGGGACAGGGAAGAGGTAATTCTAAATCAGTTGGTAGGAAATTAAATTTTATTTTGAGTGCCAGTTTGCCCCTCTGGTTTATGAATGTAAAACCAGACTATGGAATCTTTGAAATAGGTTTATTCTGTTTTGTCCTAACTCTACTTACTGAAAAGATCACTCTTTCCTCCAACATTGTAAAATAAAGACTTCACTACAAATCAAGCATTCATACGTGTTTGTTTGTGCATTCTTTCTTCTTATCCATTCATCTACCATTGCACTATTATGAAACTGTCTTTATTGCTACAGTTCTTACCATGATAACTAGTGGAGCAAGCTCTCTAAACTCTAAACTAGTTTACATCTCTGAAGAATTTGATAGCTTGGAGAACAATTAACATACTATACAATTTACTATTTAAGTTACACAAGGGAATGCAGTGTTCTACATTTTTACAGATACGTGAGACTATCACTGTTCTTAGTCTTAGAGCATTTGTATCATAATGAGACACTCTGTCCCGGGTAGCTACCATCCTTTTCATTCCCATACTTCTTCCATCCCTAACAAACCCACCGTTCTTCTCTCTGTCTGTCTAGACTCCCGCCTCTCGTGTGAACGTAATTATACGGTGATCGGCCTTTTATGATTTGCTTTTTTCACTTTCTATGTACGCCAGGCTTATTTGTGGTATGGCAAGCTTCAGTACATTTTTTCTTTCTGTGGAAGAGTAATATTCTTTGTAGAGAGACAGGATTTTGCTCATGCATTCATCAGTTGTTGATGAAACATTTAGGTTGTTTCTAAATATTGAGTATTAAGCAAATACTGTCATAAGCAGGTAAGTTTTGTGTATATATAAAATTATGATTTCCAGAATATATTACATTATACTGAATTCAAGGGAAAGAATAAAAAATACAAGTAAGCAAAAATTTTAAGGAAGTAGGTGAGGTATTATAGTGACTGCTTTTAGCATAACCTAGCACAAAGTCATGTTCAAGAAATCAAAGAAAAGGGTTCCCTGCAACAGGCATCCCTCAACTCTAATTGGCCCAGTGTGGAGAGAGATACTACTTCCTTGGAGGAGAGAGACGGCAATAAGTCTAGGCCCTAAATGGTAACCCCGTCTGGAGCACCATTCTAGGTAAATCTCCTGACCAGTATCCACAGCCTGATACACTTTAACTACATCAGTCAGGTAGCAAAGACACTTGCCATTCAGTCTCCAACCTTGACAGGAAAGTAGGGGCAAGATTCTGTCTGCTGGAGAGCACAGCATGGAAGCCAGCACAAAGCACCAATGCCAGGTTCGCTATGTGAGAGCCAGTCCCTGGAAGAAACTGAAGATTCTGTGTACAGGTCAGTAATTCTCTTGAACACAAATGAAAAGATATTTGAGGAAATATACATGCTTCACATGATCTAAACATTACACAATATATATGAATAAGCAATGTGTTAAAACATTATGTACTACCTAAATAATATGTATAATCTTTATAATTTTTTGATTTAAAGTAAATTTATAAAAAGAATGTCAGGTATCATTAAAAAGGGAACAAGTGGTAAATTTTATAGATATAAAATGTTAAGAAATTAAAATTTTAGTAAATTTTAATTTTTCTTCCCCTATTGGAGCAATTTACATTTTAGATAAAGGAAACTGGAAAATGTAGTTCATGGATTTCCAGTTGCAAAATAATGAGCAATTAGGTTATAGCACATGATAAGCTCAATACGTAGACATAACCTATTGGAGTTGATTAGCGCTAGATAGTGCATTTAAAATAAAGCACGTAGATATAAAGTATCTATAGAATTTAAAAGTTCTGGAAAGTGTTTGTTAAACAGTAGAGAATCTAGAGTAATGATGTAATAAATATATGACTTTGGGGAAATATGTTTGTTCTTTTACATTTTAGGACAGCCCAATAGAAAATTTAATTATGTTTATGCAAAAGGGAGATTTCAAGCTAATGGATATGATTATGAGTCACTGATTTTATTCATATAAAATTTTCATATTCTTTTCAAAATCAGTGGAATGACTCAAGAATTAGTAATAAGAACAAGACTTTCAACACTTTTCTAGTGATTTTTAGAGATTTCTTACATCATGTGATGGTTCTAACCAGGTGACCTGTAGGTCTTTTTAACTTGTAGACACAGTCATTTCATAACATGGGTTAGGTCACTTGTTTAACGTCTCAAGATTTTATTGAAAAGAATTATTTCAGTCATTCAGGTAAAATCAGAGTCAGACACTGAAC